TGTTCAGCATCTTAGCTGTGGAGGGCAGTGTCACTGGCCCTCATATGTGGGATCCGAACCAGGGCCCTCTGGTGTCCCAAGCCAGCTCTTAACCAACGCGCCACTCGGTCAGCCCTCACTCCCATTTTATATAAGAAACTTACATTCAGAGGGTCAGTACCTTTTCCCAAGATGACACAGCTAAACAGTGAGGCCGGGATACAATCGTATCTATTCAACTCTTATCTAACTATAAAAGTCTACATTATTTCCCGCTATGCTATCTCATTGGCACCTAACCACTATTCAAGTTAGAATAATTACATAGGGTATAATGAAGCAAGATGACTGTCACAGGCTTTGGAGGTGCCCTACACTATCACGAAAGCCAGGCACACAGGCAGCAACAGAGACAGAGGTGAGAAGTAGCCTGAATAGCACAGACTAAGAGGCCTCATTTCAGGGCAGCTGTGTTTCAAAGTGTCAGAAAGCTCCTTGCTTGCTGCCACTGTCCCACTCTCCACTTTTCAGCCTCAAAGCATTTCCAACGCCCTGGAAAGTCTCAACCAGTACTCAAGACTTGACATGAAAGTGCCGGGAAGGTAACACAACCCTCATCTAATTGGGGGCAGGGGTCCCTGACCTTCCACCTTCCAATGGACAATTCTGAGGTGCATTCCACACGGTTCCTCAGTCCTTAGCAGGACCATTCCAGCTGCCCACAGCTGGAATAAGATCAATTATGTTCCCCTCTTTGCCATCTGCTGCCTCCCTTCCCTGTGCCCTGCTGCTTCCTGGGATCGTCTCCCGAACCAGTTGTCTGCACCCAAGCCTTTGTCTTATTCTCTCTTTTGAATAAAATCAAATCTTTGGAGGACACTAAGGAATTAACTCCTTCTTCTGAAAACTGGTAGGTAGAGGAAAAGCGGCATCTATTCTTCCCTACACAAACTACACCTCAGGGTACCCAAGTAGTTGATGAGTGAAGTTTCTCTTCATATAAGAATCACAATCCTAATGAATTAAAAGATCCAGAAAACTACTGTCAATGAGCTGCTGACATTACAAAAAGAACAACCAGACATTATACAATAAAATTCCTGATGGAAGCACACAATGCCACTGTGGTAGTCAACCTCCAAGACGACCGACCCTCAGTGGTCCCCATCTCCTGGCAGCCAACCTCTGTGCAGCCCCTCCCACAGCATGCTATGTAGGTCTGCGTGAGCTACAGCATACAGAAATGATAGTATGGCACAGTCATGGCCAAGATTAGGTTATAACAGAATGTAATAACCCAGCATCCTATTTGGGCACTCTTTCTGTCAATGTCTATCGCGTGGATCACACGCTTTGGGAGAAGCCTGCTGTCTTACTGGGAGTTGCCCTATGGAGAGGCTCTCATGGCAGCTGAGGAAGGCTAAGGCCAACAGTCAGCAGTCAACAGCCAGCAAGGACCTGAAGCCTTCCATCGAACAGCCCGGGGGAACTGAGAGGTCTGCTGACTGAGCTTGGGATCAGATCCGTAAGCCTCAGTCCAGACTTGAGATGATGCAATCCCAGCTGACAACTTGACCATAACGTCACAAGACCATGAGCCAGAGCCACCCAGCTAAGCAGCTCCCGGATGCCTGACCCTGAGAAACTAAGATAATAAGTGTTTGCTGTTTTACGCTAAGCCTTGGGGTAATATATTATGCAGCAATAGGTAATATGCCACCTGACAAGTCTTGTATCCCCACCCAAAAAACTGAGTCCGAATCCAATCTATTGCTCTAACCACCAGCTTTCAGGACACAGGAGTGACAACTACAGGATCCATGACAACAGGGGACTGCAATCAGCAGTGGAAACACTTCAGACTTGAAAATGGCCTCTTTTCATTAATAAGTTACAAGAAAAAAAAAAAAGAAAGATGGGGAACTAACCTATAGATATAAAAGAGACTTAGGAGACAACCCTAATTCAAATAAATTATAAAAACAAATAATAAATTTGAAACTATCAGGGATATGTGAACAGTGCTATATATTTAACGATATTATGGAATTATTTATTTTTAGCGTGATAATGGTAGTACTGTGGTATGTTTTCAAAAAGATCCTTATCTTTTAGAGATGCACACTGTAATATTTATGGTTGAAATTATATCTAGGATTAGCTTCAAAATAACCTACGGTGAGAATGGGACGCGGGGCAATGGGGCTGAAGTTTGACCATGAGTTGCTAACTGCTAAAGGTGGATGACAGGTTACAGGACACATTTACTTTTACTATTTTCTACTTTTGTATATGTTTGAATATTTCCTTTAAAAGAAAAAATGCCTGGCTTGTTAATTTTTTACCTAAATTAAGGAGGGTGCAAAGGAAATTTCTAGGCAAATTCTGCTATGATTTTTTTTTTTAATGGCTGGAATTAAATCAGTTTCCTATTTCCCCAAATGCCCAGCAAATATAAATGAAGACTGACCTGAGGAGGTTCAAAATTTGGTCTCCACCAGTTCCCAATGCAGTCATCAATGACCCAGTCTTGCAGGACTCCATCTTGACGGCCCAGTATCTGCCAAAAAGAAATGATGCAGCCAGTAAACAACTAAATATACATACCCATAAACACCCTTCTTCAACGAGGAGAATTTTTTTGGCAGCACTCCTAACAGAGACATGGCTAACATGCCTTTCCTGTGGACTTCCTTTGTATAATGTTTTTTATTATGTGTCACTCTGCCCAAGACATACAGTATTAGTTCAAAGCTGGCAATCTAGCATCAACACACCCACAGAGGACCAACAAATATGTTGCTATGCCCTGGCTATAGGAAAAACCAAAGATAATCAATTACCTCCATCAGCCAATGGCATACAATAGTTTTTCTAGAATCAGCAAGAGTTTCTGTATATCACCCACCTGACCAAGTTACAGAAGTGTGCAAAATTCACAATTTCTCTTTTTATGAGTCTATGTAATGTAACATGAAGCTTAAGTTGTCTTAATCCAAGCTATATTCTACATTTTAATTGGGTCAAAAATGGTTCTACAAGGTTAATAATGAGAAAGGGCAGTTCCCTGACCCTCTTCACCCAGTCCCACTTGGCTGGAACTTTCAACTCTTAGCTGTTTTTTCCCCTGATATTTGCCCCTATTTTAAAAAGCTTTCTTCTTGTTTTTAAATAAACTGTTTTAAGATTTACAGAGAAGGGCCGGCCGAGTGGCGCGATGGTTAAGAACTCGCTTGGGATGCCAGAGGACCCCGGTTCGGATCCCACATATGAGGGCCAGTGACACTGCCCTCCACAGCTAAGATGCTGAACAACAGCTCAACCTGGAG